CTCTCTCCCTTCATCCTAGGGTGTGCTATGCCGGACTCTTCAAGGCCATGGCCACTGGGTGAACACCATGGCACTCAGCACCGACTATGCCCTGCGTACAGGGGCCTTCGAGCCTGCTGAGGCCACAGTCAATGCCCAAGACCTCCAGGGGTCCTGTGAGTGAGTGGGAGAAGAGGGGAGAAGGCTGCCCAGGAAGAAGCCGGTCCTGCAGCGGAAGGGACGTTTCAGCCGCTTGTGTTGGATCTTCTAATCAGTGTTGTTTCTCATCTCTCTCCCTGGGATCTGGACACAGTGCAGGAGCTGAAGGAGAGGGCACTGAGCCGGTACAACCTTGCGCGGGTGAGCGCATGCCCCTCAGCACCCAGCCCGTCTTCTTGCTCTGCTGCCCGAGGCACTCGCCGCTGACCTCTGCCCCCCTTCTCACCCTGCTCACAGCGAGCCTGTTCCGAGGAAAGGTTCTTGCATGTGCTTGTTTGCAGTTCAGTCTTATGATGCTGGAAGCATTTTACTTTGTGTTTTATTTGCTTATTTATTGCATTCCAGGGCACTGCCTTTTAAATTTTACTTAGTTTGTAACAGGACACATTTGACGTGGTGTGAGGTATAAATAAGGCAGATCCTGACACGTTTCCCATCTGGAAGCATCTGGTGCTGCCAGCACCTGTGTCTCCTCGCGGAGACTTCATGTGTACCCATACGTGTCTCCTTACAGACGTACGACCCAGATAGCAAGTCCATTCTATCCTGTCTTACTATTATATATCTTAGGAATCATTCCACATGCACGCATAGGATTTGCTTTCCTTTGGGGGTTACATGCAAGCGAGGGGCCGGCCAGGCCCCACTCCCGCGGCCCTGGCCTCTGTCCCTGGTATGTGTGATCGTTGTCTGACCACATCCAACACGGTGCGCTTTCCGCTGCCCCCAGGGCCAGGGTCCAGAGAGGCTTGTGTCTGGCTCCGATGACTTCACCTTGTTCCTGTGGTCCCCAGCAGAGGACAAGAAGCCCCTTGCACGCATGACAGGACACCAGGCCCTCATCAACCAGGTGCTCTTCTCTCCTGACTCGCGCATCGTGGCCAGTGCTTCCTTTGACAAGTCCATCAAGCTGTGGGACGGCAGGACGGGCAAGTGAGTTGAGGGCTGGGCTGTTCCTCTGTGGGCAGTGGCAGGAGCGAGGTGATGCCACCTCCCACCTGTGTAGCCTGGGCTAAGGTTTCCTGAGCCTCTGCTTCTCTTCTGTAGTACAAGGACATCCTACCTCTCAGGAGCTACAAGGGTGAATTAGATGGTACTAAATGGACATTAAAAATAGTCATCCAGGGCCAGGAATATCCCTCAGCAGCACAGTACCTGCCCGGCAAGTTCAGGATCCTGCATTCAATTCCTGGTACCCAAAAAAAAGTGCTAGTTCACTCCATATTGAAGGAGAGAAACGGCCAAGGGCCAGGCATGCTGCAGGCCACGAGACGATGAAAAGTAGCTGGGTTAGTGATGTAGTCAGTGTTGTCTTCCTCGGGGTAAGGTCCACAGACAGGTGCATTGGCACTTGCCGGAGCTTGGTAGAAATGGGAAGTTGTGGCCTCCAGCCTAGCCTTGGGCATCAGAATCTGCATTTTATCAAGGTTGGGGGGGGGGGGAGTCACAGGGGACCCTGATGCATGCACGTGATTCTGCTGCCAGTTGAGGTCTGAGAAGGCCTGGGGAGGATGTTTAGCATCCTCAGGGTTAGGTAGGTTGGTGGTGAGGCAGAGACGGGTGCAAGAAAAGGGAACCCTCGAGAGTGATGAAGAGGAACTGATGGGTCTGGCATTGAGTGTTTTCATGCAGCAACTCCTTGAAGTATTTAATTCGGTTTTTTCTTTTCTTTTTTCTTCTCCCCTCCCCTTCCTCCTCTCCTCCCCTCCCCCTCCCCTCCCTCTCTTCTCTTGGAGAAAACTGCCCAGGCAGGTGGTATTCTTGTATCACCTCAGCACTGGGGGAGGACCAGGAGGATCACAAGTTTGAATCCCACCTGGGCAACTTAGCCAGATCATGCCTCAAAATAAAGCAGGCTAGGGCCAGGGAGATAGCTCAAGTAGAATAAGTGCTTACCTGGCAAGTGCAAGGTCCTGAGTTCAATACCCAGCATGGCAAAAAAAAAAAAAACAAGCTAGGCTAAAGGTGCAGCTCAGCGTGAAGGCCCTGGGTTTTATTGACCTGAACAAGATGGAAACTGAGCCTCAGCGAGGCCTATGGCTGTCACCTGCCAGCAGGCCGCTTCAGGGGTGCTGGGCAGGCGGGCTAAGCAGGTGGCTGCCTTGGCATGTGAGGCACGCGGGTCCGTGCGGGCAGGGAGGCCTGGCTAGAGGCATCGTGAAGCAGCTCCTTTGGAGCTTTGCAGCGTGGTTGTGAACACAGCAATGAAAATGCCGAGGCATGGGGGCCAGACTGCATGGTTTTGCAAAAGGTCCCGGTCATTCTGAGAGGCAGCTGAAGTTAGGAACCACTGGTGGAGTGGGGACCCTCATACCTATCTGAGGATCTGACATCCATCTCCGTCTTCTCTGGCCCAGGTACCTGGCTTCGCTGCGTGGCCACGTAGCCGCCGTGTACCAGATCGCGTGGTCAGCCGACAGCCGGCTGTTGGTCAGCGGCAGCAGTGACAGCACATTGAAGGTGTGGGACGTGAAGGCCCAGAAGCTGGCCACAGACCTACCAGGCCATGCGGATGAGGTAGGGCTGACCCCACGGACAGGGTACTGAATTGCATGTGGCCCTCCTCCCCATGGCACTTCACCGCCCCACCCCTCCTGGTTTAGGTCTACGCTGTCGACTGGAGTCCAGATGGCCAGAGAGTGGCAAGTGGTGGGAAGGACAAGTGCCTGCGGATGTGAGTGTGTGGAGGCAGGGGCTGGGGTGCCCCGTCCCCGCCCTCAGTTAGTCCCTCTGCATTCTCTCCCTGTGGCATGGAGTTCTGAGGGACCTTTCCCGTGCACCCTGTCTTGAGTGGTTTGTGGAGTCAGTTTCTCGGTGGCCGGTGGGGGCACCAGAAGACTCAGGCCACTCCAGCAGGCATGTCTGGGTCTCCAGCTCGAGGCAGTACGTCAGGACTCTGGAGTCCTGAAACCAGAGTTCCGGTCTTGGTTGTGCTTTTGAGTGGGCAGGCAGGGAGGAGTTGGTTAAGTTTTCTCTTGGGACTTAGCAAGCCTTACATAGACTAGAGGATCCCAGATAGGAGGGTGAACACCTAAAGACCTCACTGGTGGCGGGCATCCCAGTGGCCACGTCTGCATGGAGGTCTGGGCTTAGACAGAGATGGTGCCAGGCGAAGGTACACTGCGGGCTCCTCCAATTACAGGCAGGATTCCCATCTTGTTTCCCTCCTGTCTCCACAGATGGAGGAGATGACAGTCCCTACAGTGCTGGACCCAGCCTTTGCCCGCTACCTCCCTGATAGAACAAGGCGGGGGGGTGGCAGTGCATGCACCCTCCCCTCCAGTGGTGGCTTCGATGGCCACGGCATCTTCCGTGGTTCCCCTGCCTGTAGCATGCCCCAGAGGTGGAAATCAGGGTCTCAGGAGGCTAGCGGTGAATGTGGCCATGGGCAGCATTCTGTTCCTCACTGATGGGGAGTGGGGTGGGAGGGAGGGCAGGCTCTGTGTGGGCCCCCCTGCTGGTCCCTGCTCCTCCTGTGCTCAGTTCAGACTCCAGGTTCTGTGGCCAAATAAATAACTTATATTTTGTGTGTGAGTTTTAATTCTTTGTTATAGAATCCAGGGCTCGGCTGAGGACTGCTAAATCCATGTGGCCTCCTCCCATGCTCTGGATGACCCCCAAGCTGTACTGACTTCCTGGAAAGCAAGGGTGGAACGGCAGGTGAGAGGCTGTGCTGTCTGTGGTCTGCAGCACTGTCAGTGAGCTCGGTGTGGCTAGGGATGGAACTTCGGTCTCGCTCACTGATGGCCGCAGCACGGACACCGCCAGCCCTGCTCCAGGATGCTTCGGCCTCTCGCGCCCCACAAGTACAGCCTGCTGAGCACTGAGCACTGCTGGGCTCAGGCCGGAGAGAGGACAACCATGGCCATGGGGACCTGGGTGACAGCAATGTGGGCAGCGCTGGGAGAGCTGTTGCAGGTGTGGGCATGATGTATAGGGAGCACTGTTCTCTGGCCCTTGAGCCTTTCCAAGCTGGGTTTAAAGCACCGCCAAGTCCTTTGAGTTGTAAGCTGTTGCTAGTAGTTCTAGCAACAAATGAATAGAATGCCCGTGCAGACCTCCTCGGACTCCTGACCAAGACTGCGGTGGCGTGCACACTTAGCCTCTGCTTCTTCCTGCGCCAGGTGCCAACCATGCACAGGTTGGTCCTCTAAGCTGTCCTTGTAGGAAGAGCTCAGGGCTTGGGCACATCTACCATCGCCTTCCTTCTTACCCTCTCATAAGCACATCTTCCCTCTTAGCTGTGGTTCCCAGCCTCCACCTTGCACCTCCGCAGTGAGGGTAAAGGGAGCCCCCAGCCGCGGAGCAGCTCCCTGCTGCTGAGTCCCGGTTCCGCTGTGCCCGTACTGACCCTGCACCCAGGCCTGCAGTCTCATCCCCATACTTTAGTGAGCTCCCTGGCCCAGGAAGCTTGTCACCTGCCCATGCTCTCCCTTCCTGTAAGAGGAGGAGCCAGAATTCAAGCAGAAGCTGCCCCTACTTGGACGCTTTGTGCTGCATCCCTCTAGAGCTCAGATCTAGTGCTGATCTTCGGCCGCCACATCTGTCCACTGCTCTCAGTCCTTGTGAAGACTGCCCCACAGGGCAGGAGCGAAGGCAGAGCCAAGGAGCAGGGTGGTAGCAATGTCCCCACAGTCCAGCTACCCTCCATTCTACTCCACCACCATCCTGACTTCATCCTGGCAAAAGCTAGGAGGTGGGTGGCAGCCGGCCTGGCGTGGCTGAGGCTGTCTAGAAGCAGGAAGCAGAACTTGGGGTTGCTGGGTGACGTGCAGTTCTTTAATGGGGGTGGGGAGCTGCAGTGTTTCTGGGTGAATTTGGCCCTGGCCCAGGGATGGCCTCGTACCAGTACCGCCAGGCCCTGCGCTGGCAGGGTAGTCAGTCCGTGATTTCTCTGGCGAGTTTAATTCCTGAGGGCCCTGGGCCAAGGCTGATGGCCAGCCAACCAGGGGTGCCCTGGGCCCTCAGCTAGTAGGGAGATAGGTATTCCAGGTCCTCCACCTTCCGCATGTCCTCCGGCCCCATGCACACCATCCTCCGCTGGGGTTCCTTGCGCTTCACAGTGATCTGGATGGGGCTGCTCTCAGGGAAGCTGCTCAGGTCCCTGGCCATAGTTGAAAACTGAAGTGAAACAAGAAAACCACTTCTGCTTTAAAAAAGAAAAACATCTCTGAATTCCTCCCCAGACCCAAGCCTGGCTCTCCATTTCTATCATCTTTTT